TATATAGCCATCTCATCCTCCCCTTTTTCTTCTAACTTGCTCTTGATCAAACGTACAGTTGGTCGTGGTTAAAGCCATGTTGAATACTTTGAGACGATAGATAGTTCTTGTGAACTATTTTCGTAAAAGGGAAGGAAGGGCTCTCGTTTTTTTTGCTCTATCACCTTCGGCGTCACACTCAGAAACCCTTGTCAAAACGTTACTGGTCAAGATAGTCTTTACCATGCTTTGGCTTCTTTCTGATTGTCGTCTTTATGAACTTATTTGCTCCAGCCTGAAGAGGGTTAATTAAGACCGTGACATTTCTCTTTTTATCATTGCATATATCTATAAATGCTTGCTACCTAATTTTTCCTTTTTAGCTTCTGCTGATTCAACAGAACTCAGGTAGCCTTAGTACACACTTATGGACTGCTGTTCGAGCGCGCGGCTGTCAGTTCCTTGGACCTGGTACGTTTTCTGCTCACACTAATATCCATCTTTTTTCGCTTTTTGCATGTTATATCTTTTTGCATTTCAGCTATGCAGGAAGACGTGCTTAAACTTATTCTTCTCGCTCTCGATAAGGGTGCGTTGATTGCTCGAAAAACATTGGTCATGTACGTGGTGCAAATGCTGTCGGAAGACTACCCTCAGGTTTGTTTAGCAATAATCTGTGATTATTTTCAAAATTTCCTCCCAAGTTCTGAATTTGTTTTGCTCATGATAGGTTTCAAAAACGTGTGTTGGACATGTTGTGCAGCTTCTCTATCGAGCATCATGCTTCAACGTTATGAAACGTGATGGAGAATCCTCTTTGATGCAGCTGAAAGACGAATTCCGAAATTACGAAGCGCTTCGAAAAGAACATGATGCACAGATTGTGCAGGTATGTGTCATTGTGTGATGCCTTTAATGCATGCTCAAATAATTTTTTTTTCATGGGCTTTTTTCATTATATGGTGAGTTTAGCAAATTCTCGAGTGAGGTTTTTTTGCTTCAAAATGAAGAATTGGAATGAATGGCCAAGGCTCCATTCTGTACTATGAAATGAAGCACTCGCGCTATTCACATGATTTGTCATCACATGTCACTGCTTCTCCAATGATGTCCCATCAACTACTGCCCACCCATTGATTCTGAAGGATCATTACACGAAGTTATCCCCTGACTTGATCCCCTAAAAATTGTGCCGTCATGTATGCTTCTATCCATCACAAGTCAAAGGTTTCCGATATTGCTCATCAGAGTTGCTAGGAAGTTTTCCATCATTTTCAATTTTTATAAAGAACTGAATATTATAAGAAGAAAGCCAATAAGATCTACAGCAACAATCCCCTACTCGATCCAAGAAAGAATTTCGGTGTCACGTATGCTTCTATGTTTCTTGAAGGTGACGTATTTTAACACATTGCGTATCGCGTACGATTTCAAGCGAAAAATCATAGTTTCATCCGATTTATTTGACAATTTCCAATGACGTCGTGAAGTGTTTGCACTTCAGTTGGGGTAGAGCCAGAATCAATAAGTATGATTACTATAAGGGGTGATTTAATAATGATTTATCTCTAAAAACTAAAAAAGTCTTATACGAGGACCTTGTATAACGCGCGGTCCGAACGGTGTTTAGAGAATGGGTCGCTTAAAGCAACAGTCCAGGCAGGGTTTCAACTACTTGGTCATTAGGCGGTCAAAACATGCCCCAGCCCAACTAAAGTTTATAGGAAATGTCTTTAAGTTCAAAACCTACCTCTAAAATGCGCTGGAAGGGGTCGAAGTCCTCTTGGAGGGGGCGGATCACCCATAAAGAGGCGGATCGCCCAACATACGCTGTGCAGAGTCCGCGCTTGACTAGCGGTCGTTGCGGGACCGCCGCGCTGTATGAGGTCGATTCCATAAGAACGCAATTGAAGCGCTTCAATTTCGATTGCTGGCAAATAGTTATGTATTTGCAAGCATGCAGCTATTTGCCAGCAGTTGCAATTAAAGCGCATGTACTACGGGCAGGTTCGGACAACTCGTCCAACACACGTCTCCCTAAACGGCAGGGCATGTCCCTGTCTAAGCCCCAGTTGGGCGTTTTCTTCACTTTTTCTCTTTACGTTCGACCACTTTTCACCTACAACTTCCATATAGGTGCTTTTGGCCCGCAAATTCGTTCCTGGACTGTTGCTTTAATAATAAACTTCCGTCAATATTAGTTCTATGTTGTTGACCATATAACGAATAGCAGCGGATTCCTGTTGAGACATAGATGTCTGGCTATTAGGTGATATCAAAATAGCGATATCAACTACGTTATCAAATGGTATTATCAGCCGTGCCCCGCCCCTCTAGCACGTATTTATTACGAGTGCATTTTAAGTCAAGCTACCTTTCTGCCACTTGCAAAAACTCGTAAGAAACGATAGCTGGGTCAATTTTCGGGCGTACGCACCCTTCGGTGCTTGCGTCACAACCAATAACAGATTGACTAACCTTTCCTTCTTCAACGCTATCACCTTTCCCCTGGTCCTAGACTTTGAGGAACCGGTTGTGTTCTCTTAGGGCACCGCCCACTTCGATGTAAGTCACACCACCATTGACATTTAAATTTTCCTTCTCTTCTAACCATTACCCTTTTTTCTTCCGTCTCGCAGTCATCTCGAAGTCGAATTATGAGGTCATGTAGAAACGCCATCCAATTAAGGGCACGTTCCGCCCATTGTAGGCGGGCCTTCCGTCACTCCATGTATGCTGGGAACATCTTAGACATTGGCTCCCTACAACAATTTATACCTGCTGTGTAGGCTTTCTCCAAACTGAGCTATAAATTCTTTCGTCAAACACCGCTTTTCTAGAGACCCTGCCCACCTTAGAAGGATCTCTCTAATCTGGTCTGGCTTACTAATGCACATTGAGGTATTTTCTACGGTCCCTCGGCTGTTTTTGAGAATCAAATTTGGAATTTTTGTCGTCAGTGCCATTCATTTAAATGCACGCCACGCCCATTGTGGGCGAGGCTCCGCTCAGCCTATATGTATATTTTGTATTTCTCGAGATATGGCCCATCCACCCCACACTTGATCGGTTCTCTCCAGGCAGATCTCCAGAAAGTAGCGAAATGTTCGTGTAAGGGACACTGTGACAGACAGTACGTACAGCGAAAGTTCAGGATTCTGGCGCAAAATGAGGAGAGCGTTTTAATACAACAGGGTATCACGACGTTTCATTAATCGAATTCCACTAACGGTCTACTCACTGGTGAATTTTCATTTTCTAAACTACTAATTTCAGATGGCTGTTGAATGTGGTCTGCGAATAAGTCCGGACCAGTGGAGTGCATTACTTTACGGTGATCAGGCTCACCGGTCGCACATGCAGTCCATTATAGGTTTGTTTCCATTTAGGCATTAATTTGATTCTCATAATCTGAGCAATAGAGTAGGTCTAGATGTTCAGATCGTTAGGTGGGCTCGCCTGAAATGGAGAGCTAAACCAGCTTAATGACCTAAAGAACCTAAAGCCCGAGAAGTCTCTGATTAGGAGAAGGGTGTGGCTAACATAACCTCCCCTTCAAAAAGCGAGAAAGTGTCGGGTGCAGACCAAACACCACAACTGACGACGGCCTCCAAGTAAATCTGGTTAGAAGTTGTTCATAGTGATAGCTGATTTCTGGTAAATGATAGTTGTAATTAGTGACAATACAACTGCAACAGGCTAATCATTTCATTGGCAGAAAACATTAACATTTTGTGAAGGCCGTCGTCACTTGTGGTGCATGGTCTGCACCCGACACTTTCTCGCTTTTGAAGGGGAGGGTACCTATTGTTCCATCTATGAAAGCATAGTATATAGTCAATTCCATCGCAAGATGGAGATCTCTAAAAAGCATGCATTTTTGAAGTCTAGTGAAGGTTTGGACACTATACTAATAAGAGGGGAGCTATTCTGGTGCAATAATTCTTGCGGCCTACAGTGATCCTAATTCGCGAGGGGAGGCAAGTCCGCTCGCAAGTAATGTAAGTATTACTCTTGAATTTTTTCTAAAGAAATGTTTGTCATGGTTTTGTATATGTCGGGTGCTCTGCCCCACAATGCGTTCCCAGTCCCCAGTCCAATAATAGTACAGCGCTAAGGGTAGCAATGAGCACCAGTTAAGTTGAAAATGTGTTGCTAATTGTTCTTATTCCTAATATTCGCTCCGCCCTTCATGCAGTCAATGATCTGTACAGTCGATTGCAGTTCTTTGTTTCTCTTTCCTATGTCTTACATACACCTGGTTATTATCGTTCAGATCGGCTGCAGACACCTCATTCGTACATGCAAGGAATCGACGAGTTGGCTGCAGTCGCAAGTGGGAGCGATTCAACCTCTGGAAGTTGTGATTTGGCGCAGATGGCTCAGTTATTGCGTGTGTTCGATTCACTCCCACCGCACCATGGTCTCTCAGCGAGTTATATTTTACTAACCTGGAATAATCTACTTAGCTTAACCTCTTTGTAGAACGAGTTAACTGGCACCGATTCGCTGACTACATAGATGCATTGCAGAAACTCGTCAAGGCGCATGCTGATTTCACAATGAAACGGTTCGCATTTCATCCCATTGCCGTTCTTTCTAAAATTATCTTGAAATTGTTGAGCACTTTATAGCAATGAACAACGTGCTCGCGATGCGCAACGATCAGCCGCAATGCTTCGTGCGGGTCATGCCGGTGGACTCGATAAGGCACATGCTTATAAGACCAAAATGTGCAAGTGAGAACATAGAAAAAAATTCCGGCAGAAAGTCTTCTACTCTCGCAAATTGCTCACCTTATCCAAATGTTTGCAGAGACATCTCGCTTCGTCGTTTATGTCCACGGGGAGCTCGCTGTACCTACGCTCATAATGCTGAGGAATTGCGTGATGCGTCCAGGAAAGACGCAGGGTCTGGCTGTTGTTCTCAGGTTTGTGCTTTACAGGAGGAATGAGCAGGAGAAACGGGGCACGAAAGTGATTTGTTCACGCCCCACTTATAGTAATGCTGACGTGTGGCGCTATTTCGAAAATAATCTACTTACAATTATTTAGGTTCCAGTCATCCTGTGTCCTGTGTGGTCCAGGATGTGGGTAAAATATCCTGGAAATAAGTAGAAGCAAGCCCTTTTTTTGTTTGTCTGCACTGTCAGCAGAATGGAAAACCATCCGTGATACCGAACAGTTCAAGGAGATATACGGTATCTTGTTCCTCCCAAAGCAGCGAGCAATTTTCTCAATTGATCAGTCGTAAGCGTCTACCTCAAGACACTAGCTCTGATGTACAAAACCCTCGCCGGTTTCCAATTGGGACAGCATTGTTCATGATTTTTCTCAATTCTGATTGCCAAGCCGACTACCAGTCAGGCACCTGGGACTCGACGGATTATGGAGAATTAACACATTACGGACCGCCTCGTTGTACAAGCATCTTCATATCGTTTTTTTTGTGTTTTTTGAATGCCTAATAAATCAGAAAGAACCATGCTTTTTCATTTGAAATCGCGCGCCACATGGTGGCGCACGCGGTACGCAATGTGTTAAGGATTCAAGTCGAGATTCAATGTAAAGGGCGGAAGTGGTGTAGTGGCAAGTGGCACGCTTACCACGCGAGCGGTCCGGGGATCAAATCCTGGGTCGTGAGTCGCCCGGGCCAACCAAGCCTTCCATCCCTCCGGGGTCGGTAATTCGTAGAGCTCACGAGCTTTCTTAGTTTCCTCCAGAAGAAGTGATGTTTCTTGCCATCCCGCCTCTCCTGCTCAACTGGAAGCATTGAGAGTTCTGCTCCGCAGCTATTTAACTCACTGCTTTCATTTCAGGCTTCGAAGAATGCCGCCGTTTGCCCCTACGCCTCAGCGTATGATGGTTGCCCTGCCTCCTCCGTATAATAACAATAATAATATTAATGGAGGTGAGACAATACTCCAATCATTCACAGGCCATATCTAGTATTTGCTTTTCATAGCTATGTTGTGTTTTTAGTTTATCAGCATGACTCCACCTTGACGACCCTTCCACCGCTATCGACTGCACCAAACCATCCTCCCGCAATGGTGCCAATTCTTCCTGTTCCTGTGGTAATGCCTTCTCCAACACATCACATACCATCGCCTTCAACGGCACATGGCAGTTCACCTTTGGTTGTGGTGAGTGACCTTCGAAAAAGTCCGCAAAGTATCAAAATAGAAACTTGTCGCTCTGGTCATCTTGCACAATGTTTGCTTTCCAAGAATTTTGCGGTTTTGCTGTTCTCCAATATCCTTTCTTATGGGGTAATGGAGAATCGTTTTCGTTGTTTTTCATCCCTTATGACCTTTAAGCCGACTATTGGGGATAAGGGCAGTAATGGTCTTCTTTTCTGTATTGCCAATGGAATGTTATTTAGAGGTGTGAAGAGTTCTCATTTTTCTCACAGAGGAACGAAGTAGGTCGAAATGAAGATGAGGATAAAATGCAATGCAATTACTACCACGCCTAGGTTAATGCGGTTAATGCGAAAAATTGGAGATACTTCTATTTAATAAGTTCAAATTTCATGTACCGATGTCTCCGCTCCTTGAGCGATGGAACATGCGCGACTTACCACTGCCACTAACAATCATGTCGGTGACGGCCCAACCACCGATCAATAGAACCTAAAATAAACCAAAGGGCATAACGGCAATGCAGGGGGTCGTACAGCAATCTCCCCAAGGGAAAGGGTCGTAAAAATTTTGAAGTCTGCGCAACGCACGGTTGACCCTGGTCGAGTCTATGGCACTCCGGCATACGGATGCAGCGCACGTATAAGGCGTTTTACGCTATGAGATGACTTTAAAATATCTATTTGTTAATAATGATATGTGTCATAATCGTATAATCTCGTAAGACGGCCAGAAATCCTCGTAGCTAGCATATACGGGACAGTAACCATCACAGGGGGGCGGTGGGGGGCGGGGGTATCCTAGGTATTCATATTTGTGTTCAGAGAGGGACTACCTCTACTTCAAGAGTGATCTACCTCTAACGACAATTTTCTAGTCGAATCGAGATTTTGACCATTTTACTGGTAGTGCTCCCTTGTAGCGTCTTCGACATTGCTCCGCGATAGCCCGTGTGAGAAGGAAGACTTTTAGTTGAAATTTTAGCTACAGGAGTAATTGAAGGTCCCCTCACGAGAACACAGGCGCTGGATTTTAGTGCGCCACCTTATCTAAGCGAGTCTGCGCACCTGCCATACCCCTATTATAGAAGATAAATCATTCATCTGAACGACGTTCTTTATATATACGCATCTCGAATACTGATTTCACATGCTATTCTTATTATTCTTCTCATGTTAAGTTACAACAAAATTGCTTAAGATACGCTGAAGAAGTCAACCACAAAGCATTACTACCACTGTCTATTTACATATGGTTACAGCTAGGGTCAACCGCCGCCAGATCGAAAGTTTTACGATATCTTCCTCCTCCTCTTCAAGGGGGTCTCGATACTTCATCCCTCGTTACAATTACCAATTTATGTAGTCCTTGAAGTAAGGTAGTTCGAACAAGAATGTTGAGTTGTGGGCAAAACTTTCGCCCCAGCCGGGATTCGTACCCGGATCTCTTGCTTTCCGGGCAATTGTGCTACCAGTTACACCACCGGGGCACCATTTCACCCCAACTCAGCTTCGATGGTAAATTACCATAGCTTTCAGCATTCATGCTATAACGTAATGAACCGACTAGCCGATATCGGCAGTAAACCGCAGTGCTGAAATTTTCAATCAGAAAAATGGAATATCACTGCATTTCGATGCCTTCTTGAATTTTCAGCTACCAGCTGGCATTCCTCGACGCGGAATGGTTCTAAGTAATACCGCTTCACATCCAACATCGCCAAATGGAATTCATTCCGCATCTCCTCATCACCATTCTTTATGGAACGCACATCCACCTCCACCTGGAACTATGTTTGTACCTCATCTTAACAGTTCGCACAGTCATCCTCACCCGCAATTTTGGATGCACCCGTGAGTCCATTCCTCGTTTTAGTGATTCGTTATGCAATCCTAGTGCCCGTATTTGAGGCCTCCTGCGGTGTATACTTTTGATCCACCTTCTGAAAGTGGTTTTGTCTGGTCAAGTGCTCAGCGACCGGAGTTGACCGTTCCTCCACCAGTGCTGTCGTCATCTCGCACAATGGACCAGCCGGTAGATACCGAACAATTGATGATGAAGCGAAATGAAATTATAAAGTAAGGTTTTTTCGCTTGCGATTTAATGTTTTCACATTTAATTATCCTTTTAGCCGCCTTGCTCCACTGACACTGCTCGATGAAGACGACTTTGAAGATGGTGGTGTTGGACATGTGTCATACACAGTTGCCTCTTCAGTACTCGATGAGAGGTATGCTCCAATGTAGTGCTTCGCTCTATAGAATTTTTTTTATAATTTCTTTTGCAATTGTCTTGTATGATTCCGTAATCTTACCTCAGTCACATTTTTTGCCTAGTAAAAAATGCTCGCAAAAATTGTAAATCTATCGGTATCATCCAATGCAGGCATAAGTTAATACTTTTAATGTTATCCATATTACAAACCTAGATGATACCAGAGACGACCAAGTCCAAATTGTAAGGAACTTTCATTCATTAAATCTTCCCTTTTGCAGTGAAACAGAAGCTGCACTTGATTTCCTTTTACGCTTCTTGAGCTCACCATTAGGTGTCTGCCCGCAAGCTCGCGTGCACCAGAAAATATTGGATTTTTCTCGTTGAGACTTTTCTATAAAAAGATTTTCTGCCATAGCAGAATTCACCACGAGTATAGTCTGTGAAAATACAACTTTTTCACTCAGTGCTTTCAGGGGTGAACTGCATCCTGTGACTTTGGTGATGGGCCCACCTGCTCTAGAGCTTCCTCCACTTCCCGCAGCAAATTTGTCGACGGTACCTCTACCAGCGACCGCATCTGAAGGGACAATGTTAGTAGCCTTTCAATTTTTTTTTTGCAGTTCCCTCTCTGTTCTCTCTATCTCTCTGTAGTGCCGCACAGGAGGTAGCTACGAAGTGTAACTGTTTCTGTTACTTTCGGTAAGGCGTTTTCGTAGATTCTGCGTGCACCAAGTCTATTGCCTGCTCTCTTTTTGGTTTTAATTTTAATATGTTCTAGTGTCATTTGTTATAGTAAGTAACCTAACTGCTTAAAAAATGTGTTTCAGAGCAGTGATTGGTGATATTGCAATGGCGACCGGATCCCGACCTCGTACCCAAAGCATTCCGTTGGTGCAGTTCAACAAATGTGGTGACAGCTTGTCCTACAACTCTTCTGTCTACTGAGGGCACGCCGACGGACGGCCACTGTGCAAGCAGACTGCACAACCATGCATCTTAAGGATACGATCAACCAACCACTTCCAACGCCTGCCATTCAGAGAAGTCAAGGTTGTTTTTGAGAAAACGTTGTGATTTTCTATACTGATTCGTTCATACTTAATACATACATGGACGATATCGCGCTTTTGTCGTTTTCGGCTACGTGGAGCCAGAGCGATTCACTGGAGTAACTGTCTCAATTTATTAGTGTGGATTTTAGTGGTGAATTCACTATACACAATTGGGACTCAAAATTATCTCATCAGTGACCGATGCCAAGAAGTTGCTCAGGCAACAGTATTTTAGCTCGATTGTTTTTGTAAAAAACAAATATCGCCATCCTCAGATCTTTCTACTTACTCGTCCTACCTTCCACTGAGGAACAATCGATCTACTAATAGCCAGAGGTCGAGGAAGGGGAGTACCTAGTCGAAAATCGAGTGGGCTTGAAGGGTGTTTTATGATCCGCAGCGAAGAGTATGCCCCCAGCGGCGTAGCAGGGCCATACGCCATCTGACTCTGGCCGTTAGTAGAGAGTGCGTCAGCGTTGAAAAGGGTAGCAGTGATGATAGTCACATCAGTCGGAAAATCAATGAGAAGGGGTCTGTTTCTCGGGTTCTGGGCTGTTTCTTGTATTTTTTTTTCGTCTTTGCTGTGACCAACTCTACCTCATTTTTCTAAAGGGATGTCGGTATACCCGTGTCTCGAAGTCTCAGTAAGCCCCTATGACCAATCAAAACAACCCTAAGTGGCGAGCGGGCACCATAGCCGACTGGTGCAGGTCTGTGTTGCGTTCAACCTCTGGTATAGTGTGTTTTGTAGCCTCGCAAGCATACTGATCGTGTGTACTGTGATTCAGCTTGAGTGCCTTCCGTGCAGCGGGAATGCAGCCTGGTCCAATAGGTTCAAAAGTGGTATAGTGGCACTCTGGAGTATCCTTTTTAAGCGATTGAGCTAGTAATAATATGAACCTCCTGTCCGACAGGATTCTTGCTATCTCTTCCATTGTTTTCTTTTTGTAGTTTTTTCTTCTTACGCCTGTTTTAAAAAATTTGAAGTATTTTTTTCATCTCAGTGAGCCCAGGTCGAGGTATTTGTTCTACATGCTCTTACACATATTAAATTTTCACTAAAGCTTTTATATGGGAAACTGAATTTTCTCAAAACTGAGTTGTCTTTTCCGGTTATGGCTGGTGTTTTTTTATGACCTGCGGCTCTAGCTTTTCGTTGTAAGCGCGCCTTTCGAGCGCATTCAATAAATAAATAAATAAAGGAATGCCTTTTATCGTGAACGCGCCTTTAATTGCTGTTGTTAAAAAAACAAAGAAGAACCAAACCGAAACCTCGTAAGGCTCAGAAAATCTTAGCTAAACTTTAGCATTTCTCACCATTTTTTCGACCTCTTCCTTTATGTTTATGTGAAGGTATGTTCTAAAGAATAAATAAATGCAAGAAAAAAAACCTGGAAAAATGTAGATGCGCGAAAAAGGGATGATATGGGTGCAGGGCACATATATCCCACACTACTCCATGTGGCCTGCGCTCAATACGCGGTATATCTGTATTTCGCGCTGTCGTCAATGTGTTATTCAATCACCACTACTTTAATCGAGTCTTGAAAGCTACTTTCTTTCAGTCGTTGCACCAGTGCACATGTGTGCTGTTCCGGTAGCATTTGATGCTGGAGTAGCTGGAGAACGTATTGGGACCGTTATTCGACCTGTAACACTAGCTCATCCACAGGATATGGTATCTAGCAGCCTGGATAAGATCGTAGACGTCAAGGAGAGGTTGAGCGAGGCGGAAGGTTTGGGTCTATTTACTTTTGTTTTTAATTCGTCTTTTGGAACACCAAAATATTGTTAATATTTGGATCGCTATACCAGGTTAGACTTTGCGACCAATCGCTAATAAATCGCGCGATTAATTAGTGATTGGTTGCAGTTTGACACCTGCCTCTAGGGGTTGCACCATGCTAACTCAGTTGTTTCACTAAGCTCTTAGTAATATGTTAGGTGCCTGCATGTGGAATAGAAATACAGTTTGTAGCAAAATCCAAGTCCTCAAGGTCTTTGAACCTCGGCATAGTTGGTTGTTATTATGAGTGTGCTTCTGCCACGAGGTTAATATCTGGGGATTTCTATTCGGTCAACGATACGATTTATCTACAGAAACTTGTATTTCTAATTCACATGCAGGGCACACTAAAAACATATTAACATATTAAGAGAGCTTAGTGAAACAACTGAGTTAGCATGGTGCAACCCCTAGAGGCAGGTGTCAAACTGCAACCAATCACTAATTAATCGCGCGATTTATTAGCGATTGGTCGCAAAGTCTAACCTGGTATAGCGATCCAAATATTAACAATATTTTGGTGTGTTCCAAAAGACGAATTAAAAACAAAAGTAAATAGACCCAAACCTTCCGCCTCGCTCAACCTCTCCTTGACGTCTACGATCTTATCCAGGCTGCTAGATACCATATCCTGTGGATGAGCTAGTGTTACAGGTCGAATAACGGTCCCAATACGTTCTCCAGCTACTCCAGCATCAAATGCTACCGGAACAGCACACATGTGCACTGGTGCAACGACTGAAAGAAAGTAGCTTTCAAGACTTTAACAGCATTGCGATACGGGCGTGCGCCAGCCATGATGGCGCCACGCTTTCAACATCAAACAGGCATAGTTTAATCGCCGATTTATTGACATTTTTCAAGTGCTACTGAACTGTTTTGCACCAACGATTTTCAAGAACCGGAAAACCATGGATAATGTTGTTGATAGATTAATGACGATACATTTTTGAAAAATATGAAAAAAGGTACGAAGGCACTCATACAACGGCGGTCCGCAATGTGTTAAAGTAGTGGTAGAATAACACATTGACGACAGCGCGAAATGCAGATATACCGCGTATTGAGCGCAGACCACATGGAGTAGTGGGGAATGTGCCCTGCAACTATATCATCCCTTTTTCGCGCATCTACATTTTTTCCAGGTTTTTTCTTGCATTTATTTATTCTTTAAAACATACCTTCACATAAACATAAAGGAAGAGGTCGAAAAAATGGTGAAATGCTAAAGTTTAGCTGAGATTTTCTGAGCCTTACGAGGTTTCGGTTCGGTTCTTCTTTGTTTTTTTTTTTAACAACAGCAATTAGAGGCGCGTTTACGATCAAAGCCATTCCTTTATTTATTTATTATATTGAATGCGCTCGAAAGGCGCGCTACAACGAAAAGCTAGAGCCGCAGGTCATAAAAAAACACCAAGCCATAACCGGAAAGAACAACTCAGTTTTGAGAAAATTCAGTTTTCCATATAAAAGCTTTAGTGAAAATTTAATATGTAAAGAGCATGTAGAACAAATACCTCGACCTGGGACTCGCTGAGATGAAAAAAAATATTCAGGAATTTTCAAAACACGGCAGAAGAAAAAAAACTACAAAGGAAAAACAATTTAGTGGATCATGGAGCAGATGGAAAGAGACAAGAATCCTGTCGGACGAGAGGTTTCATATATTAGCTCAATCGCTTAAAAGGAGGATACTCCAGAGTGCCACTATACCACTTTTGAACCCATTGGACCAGATTGTATTGCCGCTGCACGGAAAAGACACTCAAGCTGAATCACTATACACACGATCAGTATGCTTGCGAGGCTACAAAGCACACTATAGCAGAGTTGAATCGCAGGCGACACAAGCGGGACCTGGCACCACGTCGCTAATGGTGCCAGGCTCGCCACACTTGGGGTCATAGGGGCTTACTGAGACTTCGAGACACGGGTATACCGACATCCCTTTAGAAAAATGAGGTAGAGTTGGTTCATGCAAAGACGAAAAAAAAAATACAAGAAACAGCCCAGAACCCGAGAAACAGACCCCTTCTCATTGATTTTCCGACTGATGTGACTATCATCACTGCTACCCTTTTCAACGCTGACGCACTCTCTACTAAACGGCCAGAGTCAGATGGCGTATGGCCCTGCTACGCCGCTGGGTGCATACTCTTCGCTGCGGATCATAAAACACCCTTCAATCCCACTCGATTTTCAGACTAGGTAATATTTCCGTTCTTCAACTCTGGCCTTATTGTGGATCCTTGTCCTCATGGAAGAGTAGGACGAGTAAGTAGAAAGATCTGAGGATGGCGATATTTGTTTTTCTTACAAAAACAATCGAGTTAAAATACTGTTGACGACCGCTAAAGCAAATGTAAACAAAACTTGCTTTTTCAATGTCATTCCACGTCCTATGAGTCAAAATTACTACCACACCCCTGAGCAACTCTTCGCATCGGTCACTGATGAGATAATTTTGTCCCAATTGTGTATAGTGAATTCACCACTAAAATCCACACTAATAAATTGAGACAGTTACTCCAGTGAATCGCTCTGGCTCCACGTAGCCGAAAACGACAAAAGCGCGATATCGTCCATGTATTAAGTATGAACGAATCAGTATAGAAAATCTAACGTTTTCTCAAACAACCTTGACTTCTCTGAATGGCAGGCGTTGGAAGTGGTTGGTTGATCGTATCCTTAAGATGCATGGTTGTGCAGTCTGCTTGCACAGTGGCCGTCGCGTGCCCTCAGTAGACAGAAGAGTTGTAGGACAAGCTGTCACCACATTTGTGAACTGCACCAACGGAATGCTTTGGGTACGAGGTCGGGATCCGGTCGCCATTGCAATATCACCAATCACTGCTCTGAAACACATTCTTTTAGGCAGTTAGGTTACTTATCATAACAAATTACATTAGAACATATTAAAATTAAAACCAAAAAGAGAGCAGGCAATAGACTTGGTGCACAGAATCTACGAAAACGCCTTACCGAAAGTAACAGAAGCAGTTACACTTCGTAGCTACCTCCTGTGCGGCACTACAGAGAGATAGAGAGAACAGAGAGGGAACTGCAAAAAAAAATTGAAAGGCTACTAACATTGTCCCTTCAGATGCGGTCGCTGGTAGAGGTACCGTCGACAAATTTGCTGCGGGAAGTGGAGGAAGCTCTAGAGCAGGTGGGCCCATCACCAAAGTCACAGGATGCAGTTCACCCCTGAAAGCACTGAGTGAAAAAGTTGTATTTTCACAGACTATACTCGTGGTGAATTCTGCTATGGCAGAAAATCTTTTTCAGAAAAGTCTCAACGAGAAAAATCCAATATTTTCTGGTGCACGCGAGCTTGCGGGCAGACACGAGCCTAAAATGGTGAGCTCAGAAGCGTAAAAATGAAAATCAAGTGGCAGCTTCTGTTTTCACGTACAAAAAGGGTAATGAATGAAAGTTCCTTACAACTTGGACTTGAATTTGGTCTCTGGTATCATCTAGGTTTGTAATATGGATAACATAAAAGTATTAACTTATACTTACTACTTACGTATGCCTGCATTGGATGATACCGATAGATTTACAATTTTTACAGCATTTTTTACTAGGCAAAAAAATGTGACTGAGGTAAGGATTGCGGAATCATACAAGACAATTGCAAAAGAAATTATAAAAAAAATTCTATAGAGCGAAGCACTACATTGGAGCATACCTCTCATCGAGTACTGAAGAGGCAACTGTGTATGACACATGTCCAACACCACCATCTTCAAAGTCGTCTTCATCGAGCAGTGTCAGTGGAGCAAGGCGGCTAAAAGGATAATTAAATGTGAAAACATTAAATCGCAAGCGAAAAAACCTTACTTTATAATTTCATTTCGCTTCATCATCAATTGTTCGGTATCTACCGGCTGGTCCATTGTGCGAGATGACGACAGCACTGGTGGGGGAATGCGGTCACTCCGTCGCTGAGGGCACTTGAGCGGCAGGTACAAAACCACTTCCAGAATGGTGGATCAAGTATAACGCACCCGCAGGAGGCCTCAAATAGGGCACTATTATGTGGCAGGCAACGAATCACTAAAACGAGGAATGGACTCACGGGTGCATCCAAAATTGCGGGTGAGGATGACTGTGCGAACTGTTAAGATGAGGTACAAACATAGTTCCAGGTGGAGGTGGATGTGCGTTCCATAAAGAATGGTGATGAGGAGATGCGGAAAATTCCATTTGGCGATGTTGGATGTGAAGCGGTATTACTTAGAACCATTCCGCGTCGAGGAATGCCAGCTGGTAGCTGAAAATTCAAGAAGGCATCGAAATGCAGTGATATCATTTTTCTGATTGAAAATTTTAGCACTGCGGTTTACTGCCGATATCGGCTAGTCGGTTCATTACGTCGTAGCATGAATTATACGA